GAAGGTCACACTCTGCTATCCAACACGGAATGCAGAGGGCGATGGGGTAACAGCTCAATGGTACAGCACTTCCCTAGATTGTACCATGCACTGGACCTGATCCCTGGCCACTACAAAACAAATCCCACACAAACTACATAGAAATAATGCATGGCCTGCTTACTGACACCATTATGATTATTTACATAAACTACAGAAAGTTCTTGAGCAACTTCTACATTTTTACTATGGCCTTTAACAATGTACCTGGTGGGTGTGGTGGTGCACACCTGTAATCCCAGCTCCTCAGAACTGAAAGTTGGAGGCTGGCCAAGCAATTCAGTGAGAGCTGGTCTCAAAAGGGGTGGGGGATGCAGATCGGTAGTGGCATCAGGTGGCATGCCAGGGTGCTATGTTCAAGTGTGGTCCCCCGCCAAGGGCTATTTCTTGTTTTATCACACTGACACTGACATTTTACTACAGTTCCTTTCCACTGAAAATCTAATGCATACAGCCAAGGGTGTATCCAAATAGTACAGCACTTGTCTCACATACACAGTGCCCTCAGAAACTCCGAGAACCAGCAGTCCTTGGCAACCATATGATAGAACATGCTCTTACCGGCACCCCCCCCCCCCGTCCCCCGGCACAGTCACAACCACAGAAGACTGCAGACCATGGTGGTCTCTTAACAGCACTTCCCAGCTATGCGTCAGTGTAAAGGAAGATTTTCTCTACTGGATCTGAAAATCCATGATGAGTAGGTCTGTATCTTAAATCACATTATGGATTTTCCATAATTTGTCCAACACTTCAATCACAATAAATAGGGCCTATCTGGTAAATGCAGGCAGAAATAATGTCTCTTATTCAGAAATTGAGGTCAAGCTTGGTGCAGTGGCATACACCTATAATCCCAGCACTTGGGAAGCTGAGGCAGGAGAATCACAGTGAGTTTGAAGTCAGTCTGGGCTACATAGTGAGATCGGGAACAGTGAGACCATCTCAAAAAAAAAACAAAAATTGAGATCAGATTCCTAATCACAAAATAGCACCTTAAAAGTCACCCATAATCTCAGGCCTTGGGAAGCTGAGATAGGAGGATCACCACACATTCAAGGTATAGTCATCACACATTCAAGGTACACAGAAGTTGTTGAACTACATAGCAAGTTCAAGGTCATCCTGACCCTTGTCTCAAAAATATAAAAAGATTAAAGTTAAAAAAAAAAAAAGGGTGCCTGAAACTGTGTGCTGGGGCAGAGCACTTGCCTAGTATAGACATAGCCCAAAGTTTGTATTATACAATAACACACATAAAACCTGTAGAAAAATACTTGTTTATTACACTAAAGTCACTAATCTTTTTTTTTTAATTATGTCCTTGGTAATGATTATTAAGTGCTTCCAACAGCACACATCAGTTAAGCTTCTCTATATGTACACACACACACTAGTGTGTTGCTGGGGATTGAACCCAGGGCCTCCTGCATGCTAGGCAATGCTAACCTCTCTACCACTTACTCTCCTTGTGTAAATAAAACACCTGTGGTATAGCTGCAGGAACAGCTCAGCAGTAGCCTAGCCACGCCCTTGACTTGAACCATAGCCCTGAAAACAAATGATAAAAAACTTTTGACACTTTAAATGTTCACAATATCTAGCAGCATGCCCAACTCTCTGGCTCCACACTAAGTTAAAGATACAACATTCAAATGTACCAGAATTCGTACTAGACAGTAAATCAGTGAAAAATGAAAATCTAAAATTTTTAAATAATTGCAAAATTAATGGCAAAGGAAATGACAATCATTTAGAACTTACCAAAGAGGAATACAGAAATGTCTAGCGCTATAAGAACTTTTTAAAGCAATGGGCCTGCTCTACTAGCTAATACATATGCTTCTGTCTTCCTGTGGAATTAGTGGCTTTGTATGATTTATCACTTAAAACCTTAACAGGGAAGGCCACATTTAAATTTTATCTATTCTATGATGGTACCAGAAATCAAACCCAGGGATACTCTACCACTAAACTACACCCTCAGCCCTTTTTGAGACGGCCTCAGTTAGCTGCCAAAGACAATCCTTGGACTTGTCATCTGCCTGTCTCAGCCTCCTTAGTAGCTGGGATTACAGGGATGGGCCACAGCACCCAGTATCACATTTATTTTGATCATGAGAACCTGAAAAGTGTTTCAGATATATTACGAAGGCGCTCCTATTACACATCACTATCTCTCCAATTAAATTTTTTGGCACAGGGAATCAAACTCACGACCTCAAACTCACCAGGCAGGCACTATGTTGAGCCATATCCCCGGCTCTTCTCTCCAATAAACTTTAAATCAAAGACCATCACTAATGAAAGCCAATTTAAATAGTTATTTTATTAAAATAAGGAAAAGGAGGACTCCCAAGTTCAAGGTCAGCCTGGGCACCTTAGCAAGATGTTGTCTCAAAATTTTAAAAAGGGTTTCAAATGTAGCTTATTGATAGAAGGCCTCTGGGTTTGATCCCCAGTACGTAGGAGGTAGAGAAAAATCAAAAAATATCATACTCGATTTTTAAAGTAACTTTTCATTGGAAATGATACTGCATATATTTTTTAAATTGTTCTGCTTCTCAAGAGGTACCCTGGCCAGAGATTTAGCTCAATGGTATATATGCTAAAGGGGGAAAAAAAAGAATGATACCCTGTTGCCAAAAAGGTATACAATCATAACTGTACATTCAGCCTTGCAAATAACCTCATGAAATCTTTTTTATTAAAATAAAATCTTAATAAAAACTATACGAGGTTTTTTTCTCAATTTTACTTATTTACTTAAATTTTTGTGGTGCTGGGATCAAACTCAGGGTCACATAAATGGTAAGCAAGCACTCAGCTACATCTCCAGCCCCCTGCCCTTTAGTAAATTATTATGCTAACATTTCTAAAAATCCATTCATTCTAAAATATTTGTGGGGGGCTAGGGATTTAGCTCAGCGGCATAAGCACCTGCCTTGCAAGCGCATGGTCCTGAGTTCAATCGCCATACCACTAAAAAAAAAAAAAAAAAAAAGTGAGCACTCAAGAGGCTGAGACAGGAGGATTGTTGCGAGTTCGAGATCAGCCTGGGCTACAAAGTGAGCTCAAAGCCAGCCTGAACTGCATAACGAGACCCTGTCTCAAAAAGACAAAAAAAAAAAAAAAAAAAAAAAAAATCACCAGCCCTTCCACTTCTTTTTTTGGGGGGGTAGTATAGGTACTGAATTCAGGGCCTTCACATTTACATCTCCAGTTCTTTTTAAATTTTTCGTATTTTGAGATGTCATGTCTCTAAATTGTGCCTGCCTGGCCCAAACTTGTGATCCTTCTGCATCAGCCTCTCAAGAGTGCTGGGATTACAGGCGTGCACTATTATATTGCTTGCTTCTGTTCCTTTTTATGGTGAAATATTTCATTTTGTAGAAATATCGTACTTGGGGGCTGGGGATTTAGCTCAGCGGCATAAGCGCCTGCCTTGCAAGCAGGCAGTCGTGAGTTCGACCCCCGGTACCGATAAAAACGAAAAAGACAAAAAAAAAAAAAAAAAAAAAAAAGAAAAGAAAAGAAAAGAAAAAAATATAAGAAATATCGTATTTGTGTATCCATGATCAAGGTAGTCTAAACAAAATGCCCAGTTTCACGCAGTTTCTTCACCCTCTTCTCTTCAGCCTCTCAGGGTTGGGAAATACTACTGCACCGAAAGTTGAGTTGAAGAAGAGGAGGCCAGGTTTAGACTCTGCAGGAACCCGGGAAGAGCTCTCAAGGTTTCCATGTTTAATACCCTATTTACCCAAAATGCTACAACATCTGAATTTTTGGGGTTTTTGTTTGTTTTTCGACACAAGATCTCGCTATGCAGTTCAGGTTGGCCTCGAACTTGCCTCGATCCTTCTGCCTCAGTCTCCCCAGTGCTGGGATCACAAGTGTGCACACCTGAATCTTAAAGAGACCTTTCGATGGCAGGCCCAATACGGCAAAAGTGGGATACTTTAACAGAAAAGCAGAAAATACAGTCAAGTAAGGCAACTGAAGCTAAGAGGAGAGAGTCACCTTACATGGAAACTGGGTAATCCAAAGATAGACATCATGTCCATTTTTTCAGGGGACAGTATTTGCACCCTGCTGTCCAGCTTTCAAAGTCTTCTCCCAAGGGCCCTACTAACCCTGTGTCTGAGAAGCCAGCTAAAAGGCTGTGGCTGACAGCCAGCCACTTCTGAAAACCTGTCTATGTCACCTGCTTTCAATTTATTAGGTCACCTTGACACCCTCTCTTCTAAAAACCATTCGAGGCTTCTCGATATCAGTATGTCTCTTTAAAAATCACAAACAAAAGTCACACACCTGCAGCCTACTCTTGTTTTCCAGGGCCTGCTGAAAGAAAAACCCACCTTTCTCAGGGGCCAACGGGCTAGGAGAGCCGCTTCCAACTTCGAGGACGCGCGTCCGGCCCTCCACACCCAGGGTTCCGCCCCGGTCCGCGCGGTCCCGACCCTGCGGGCTCCGCCAGCGCCTGCGCCTGCGCCCCGGGCAGCTGTGCAAGGGCCCGGCGGGAGCGCAGCCCGGCCCGGCCCGGCCCGGCCCGACCCGACCCCCCGCGGCCGCAACGCCGGCACAAAGGCGTCCTCGCTGGGCCGTCCTCACTGCTCCTCGCCGCCTTCCCTCCCGAGGAGGCGCCCGGCCGCCCTCTCAGTCCCCTGCCCAGGAGCTCAACGCCGATGCGGACGGCGTCGCTCCAGAGCGACGGGCGGGAAGGGGACAAGGAGGAGATGCCGTCACCCAGGGGGATCGGAACCAAACGCCCGAGCCCCGCGGCCGCGCTCCCAGCCAGGCCCAACCTTCCCGTCGCCCCGAGCCGGGCCGGCCGCGCTGAGAGGCCGCGGCAGGCGGGACGGGGCCTCACCGCCATCCAGGGCGGAGGCCGGCGGGGGCGCGCACCGGCGGGGCCCAGGTCGCGGAGGGCCCAGGGCCCCCTGCCGCGGCGCCGCATTTACCTGGAAGTCGCGGTCCTCGTTGAAGCGCGAGAAGCGGTCCGCCATCTTGCACCCTCTCTACGCTCCGCTCCGCCGCCCCCGCCCCCCCCCGGGTCGCACGCCGCCTTCTCACCCGCGGGCGCGCGGGCGTGTGTGCGGCCTGGGCGAGAACGAGCAGGCGCGTCCTGACGAACAGCTCCGCGGGCGCAGGCGCCGCCCGGCCCCGGGGGCGGACCCTCCCGCGCGTCCCCGCGCCGTGCTCGACCCCGAGCGACCCTGGCGGCCGGGCATGCGCACTCGCGCCGGGGCGCCAAGCGCTTCCGGGGAAAGGTCAGTGTGGCTGGCGCAGCTACCCTGCTCCCGGGCTTCGGTGCTCTCTGGATCCCCACCTCCTGAGTCTGTTTCCAAGTCACCCTGGCGCTCTACGCGTCTGTCTTCCGGGGCCTTTACCAAAAAATGATGTGATACAGTGAGTGGGAATGCACACTTAGAGCCACTCCTTTTTTTTTTTTTTTTTTTTTTTTTTTGTGACAGAGCCTTGCTGTGACTGCACAGTAGAGAGCTGGCATCGACCTTGCTAGGATCCTCTTGCCTCAGCCTCCCCAGTGCTTGGATGACAGTTGTGAGCCACCATGCCCAGCATTGATCCTGACTCAAGTGTTGCTTCACTGATGCATCCTGTTTGTACACACTGTGGTATGGTCCAGTAGCTCGATGCCTACAAGTGAGGGTAACAATCTAGTCCAAGTGATCAGCCAAGCAGGTGTCTGTCCACCCCAAAGAGCAGGCAGAAAGATCCCTTCCTAAGCAAGCATAAGGTCCTGAGTTTTGATTCCCGGTACAAAAAAAAAAACCTACCCTCACAGGCTTACATCCAGAGAAGTCAGGAATTAACAAAATAAGTAATTGTAAACATGATCGAGTGCTAGATAAATAAAACTGGGTGTGCCCATGTAGTTGACCTGTGGAGCAGCCTTGGGCGGAGTACCTACAGGACAGGAGACTGCAGACAGCTTCACTGTTTCTGTTTATTTCTTCCTGACATAAGACTCACTGGTAGCCCAGGCTGGCCTGGGGCATGGGACCTTCCTGCCTCATCCTCCTGAGTCCTGGGGTTGTAAACTGTGCCACCTCCACTGCCCAGGAGCTGGGCATGTTTCATCAGTTCTCCAGGGCAAAACAGCTGAATCCACCGAAGGTCTTTAGACTTGTGCTTCCTGCATATGCATGCAGTCGACACCGTTGTTCCTTTTTATAAACTGTGAAAATCAAATTTAGGACTTATTGTTTACTGCTTCTGCCTAGTACTGACAGTGGGGTGGGCACAGGACATCTCTGCTTTTGGAAAGAGTCATTAGCTTGGGATTTAGTTCAGTGGGTTAAGTGCCTGCCTGGCAAGCATAAGGTCGTGAGTTCCATCCTCAACACACACAAAAAGTCATTGATCACAATAAAGGGGAAAGGCCCTGCCCGGCCAGAAGAGAGTATGGAGTCTAAGCCTGGCAGGAAGGTATGCAAGCTATGCCCAGTCTGCAGAAGTGGCCAGCGCAGTATCTGAGCTTAGAATGCAAGCAGCCAGGAGGCTGTAGCATGGCCGTGGTGGAATGAATGGCTACACAGCCCACAGGCTCACCTCCAAGCACTTAGGCAAGGAGAGTAGCATGACAGTCAGCAGCAGTGGCCTGAGCCTGAGGACAAGGACTCAGGGAAGATTTGTCAACAGCACTCGAGGGAGCTGCAGTGTGGATCAGTGGGAGTGGCTCCAAAGAGCGGGGAAATTAAGGCACAGAGCACAGGGTCCTGGAGAGGAGCTCTGGAACCCCAAGGGCTCCTGGCGGGTCCTCTCAAGGGGCGGGGCCAAAGCCCAGTGCCCACAGAGCAGCAGGACAAGGAGCCAGCTTCTTGGCTTTGCACCTCTTGGCGGGACTGAGGGGCCTTGTTGGGCTGAGGACCAGGCAAAGCCAGCGTTCTGGTCAGACTTCTGGGAGCCCACAGGAAGCCTGTCTGGGAAAAGCCCCAGCTGCTGAGCTCTGCTTTCTAGGAGCACCTTCTGGGTTATATAGACTTCACAAAAAACAAAGGCGTTTAGAAGAAGCTGAGATAATGAGAAGAGCATGTGACCATGGAGGTGGAACAAAGTATCAGAGAACTGGGGAACATGAGATCCCGAAAAAGGAAGTACAATATTCAAAAGTTAAGAAAACTTTCAAAGCCAGGTATGGTGGTGCCAGCCGCCTGCACTCCAGGAGGCTGAGGCAGGAGGATTACAAATTCAGGTTCAGCCTGCGCAATTGGGAAGACCCTGTCTCAAAGAAAATAAATTGAAAGAGCTGGGGATGGAGCAGTGTGAGGGCTCCGGGATTACCCACCAGGGCCAGGAAGGAAACAGTTTTGTTTTGTTTTTTGGTACTGGGGATCAAACTCACAACCTTGTTGTGCTTGCCAGGTAGGTGCTTATGCCGCTGAGCAATATTCCCGGCCCAAGCGAGGAGGTTAAAGCTGGGCATGCAATCGTACTGTCACAAGCAGTGAAGTTCGAAATGAATATGCAATGCGAGGGGCTGACTGCAAGACTTGAGACCGCTGGGCGGAGGCGCATGCGCAGTGCCTCAGAAGGCGCAGCCCTGGTTTGGCTGGGGCTTCCCTGGAGACAAGTAGCCCAGTTCCCAGGCCCAGTCGGACGCAAATGCCCGTAGTAGCCAGAGTGAAAGGATTTTGCCCCTAACGTGACAATGTAGCGGGTGGAAGCCTGGGAGGCGGAACCAAGGGGCTCTAGCTTGAGGTCACCTTTCCTGCTCCTAGGCAATTTACCTGTGGCGTGAAATGAACATCCACATGAGCTACCTGTGCATCACTAATGCTCCTTAGGCACCACCCCAAACCTAAGCTACATGTATGCCTCCACACCACATGTCTGCAGACCCCCGAGGGTCATGGAGTTTGTCTCCACATTCTTAAAATAAAGGCTGCTTTTATTTCATACTTATCTTTTTAGCCGCGCCAAAAATTCTATCAGATGGTTCTCTTCCGCGCCAAAAATTGTATCAGATTGTTCCCTGACCGTGACTGGCAAATGAGAGACTGCTGGCGAGTCCCCTGACGTTCAGGACTGGACTGCATACTGGATTAATTCCTCACTTCTCAACATGCGGGAGCTGCTAAACTTGTCACTGCTGGTTTGCAAACAACACCGGTCTAATTCATTTACCACAGGTGAGCAACCTTCTGAGATTACTCAGCAGCCCTGGGCCAAGCCCCACGTGGGTTTTCTTCCCGTTCCCTGGACTCTCTGGTCCTTAGCCCTGAGGCAGAGCTTTTACTGTAAGCTCTCACGTCCCTTAGAGCCCGAGGCAGAGTCATTAAGCTCTCTCAGGCAGAGCCATTACTGTAATCCCCAGGAACTCCACTCATGCCCTTGCTGATCTTGGGGACCACTTCCTGTCCCCCCCCCAAAAAAACCATACCTATTTATAGCTTATCACACTGAGACAAGTTTGCAAAAACTCTCCATCTTTGGGCCTTTATTTTGAGAATTGTCCTTCTCTCCCTCTGCTCCTCCAGGATCCCGCCTCCTCCCCACACTCAGGAGATAGCATAGCGTCTTTCTTTACATCCTTTCAAAGCTTTCTCAGCGTCCTCCTTTCCTCCCCGCTTCATCCATTTATACTGCTTCACTCATTTCTCAGTCCCTCCCCACCCCGGGCGCCAACCCGCCTTTCCCGCCGGGATGGGGGAGGTGCGCCCGGACAGTGTTGGGGGAGGTGTGAGTCGGCTGCTCTGCGCCCTGCCCGCCCTGCCTACTCTGCGTTCACCGCCTCCCACCCTGGACACTCCGCCCACCCTCCGGGTTCCGCCCCCTTCCTCTGAGCGCCAGCAGGGACAAAGAGACAACGGGTCAGAGCGGACAATTCATTGTTGCTGATCTGATGGTATATTCATGCTTTCAAATATAAAATTGGGATTGTTTCTGCTGCCTTTTTCTTCTGTTCCAGCCAAGAGATACAAATCAGACCAACATGAGTAAAGCAGTCAAAGCTACATGCATGCCCCCACACCACAAGTCTGGCGGAGAGAATGCCAGCCCCCCGAGGATCATGGAGTCTCTCTCCACATTCTTAAAATAAAGGCCACTTTTATTTCATACATTTTAGCTGCGCCAAAAATTTTATCAGATGGTTCCCTTCCACGCCGAAAATTCTTTCGCAGAGCACCCCGGTCCATGCTCCTTCCTAGTCCATGCTCCTTCCCGGAAGCCTCCCCTGCCCCTGGTCGTGGCCCTGCGGGTGGGGATCTGCTCAGTGCTATCCTGAGTCCTGCGCGCTGAATGGGGTGGCCCACCCGGACAGTGGGCCTGAGGGCCGCCTTCACATCACCCCTCCTGTCTTCCGGAGCTTCTTCTCGAATAGATCTTTCCTGCTCTCCTTGGAGAGCAGTTCTGGGTTGTGTGGACGTGAATGTGGCACACCTGACACCTAGCAGAGCAGGAGTCACTTTTTTCCTGTATCAGTCCCAGCTACTCGGGAGGCTGCGACAGGAGGGTCACAAATTCAGGCCCAGCCTGGGCCCCTTAGTGACTTCCTGAGATCCCATCACTGATGATAAAGGGTGGGAGCGGGAGGGGACTGAGATTGCAGCGCTTGCATAGCATGCGTGTGACCCAGACACGCGCACACACACACACACACACACACACACTTGGAAATTAAAATCTCCCGCTGTGATAACTTGCTGGTCCTTCATGGCATTGACCTTTTTTAATTTTTAGTTTTGGTGTCACTGGCAATGGAATTCAGCCTTCTCACAGGGGTACATACAACACTTTTTTCTTTCTTTCTTTTTTCTTTTCTTTCTTTTTTAAATCTCATTATGAAGTGCAGGCTAGCCTCAAACTAGTGGGGGTCCTCCTGCCTCAGCCTCTCAAGTGCAGGAACCTCCAGGCAGGAACCACCACACCGACTTGGTTTTTTTTGTTTGTTTTTTGAGTCAGAGTCTCCTTACATTGCTAAATTTGGTATTCTCCAGCCTGTGGGTATCTTATTTTCCAGGCACTTTTCACTTGTGGGTGACTCTGAGCCTGAATTGTTTATTAGGGGTCAAAACAATGGCCTCAATTTTTTTTTAATTTTTTTGAGACACTCTTTTTTTTTTTGTCTTTTTTTGAGACAGAGTCTCTATCAGTTTGGGCAGGCCTTGAGCTCACTTTGTAGCCCAGG